CTGCGCTTGCTGCTGTGCCGTTTAACAATACTTCATCCCCAGCCACAAATTATACGTAACATCAATTGTTGCATGAAAATGATCATCTCCACAATACATCTTCCCCATCTTAACATTCAAATAGTCTCATTTTCAGACATACCACATAATTCTGATGTTTTTACATATCAAAAAAACTAAAATTACCACAATTCCTCATCATTAGAAATTTTTCTCAGCCATGATATGTGAGCAAAAACGGAGATAAAAGTATCTCATTCAAAGCAAATGAGACTTTCACTAATACCTAAATAGATGAAATTTTTGGAAATACCACATAATTCTAATGTATTTACACATGAAGCAATTAAAAATACCACCCAACTTCCAACCGCACACTCATGTAAGACATTCTACAAGAGATATAAGTAATACTAAATGTTAAATAAAAAATGACTTAACCATGAAATGCATTTTAAGGACATCCTCCATTATCAATAACAGAAATTTGTTAGGAGATCATACCAAGGTCACAACAACAACCAGAAAAAATCAAAAGACAATCTAAGAAGATAATACCTCAATCACAAAATAAATAGAAAAATAAAAAGATTATATCACGATTATAAAAAGAAATAAACAAAATATAACAAGACAATGTAAAGTGAACACATTCCACCACCCCATCAACCCAACACCATGCCGTACTTCACCTAAGCATACCAAGTAATACTGAATGTTCAAGTGATAAATTTTAGCGAGCATCTCAAAATAAAAAATTTCAGTGAAAATAAGAAACTCCAATCAAAGATATTCACATGAAGGAAGGAGAGTAAAGTAGAGAGAGAGAGAGATAGATGATAGTTTAGGGTTTCATTGCATCTCATCAGTAGTCGAGTGCCACAGTAGAGATAAACCACAATCTTGTGCAAAAAGAACAAGGCTCGCACTAATATATTTTGCCCTAATTGATACTACAATGGGGACAAAAGCGAGGAATTAAGTGGAAATTAAAAGAGAAAAAAATAGAAGAAAAAAAGGCCTTAACCAATGGAGCTGGCCGCGGATTGCCTCTGTCGTTCGCATGCCACAATTCACTGCCACGATTGGGAGCCTGCCACGTCCCTGCCACACTTGCGACTCTCAAGCAAAACAAACCGACCATACAATTTGTGAACGCGTCGTCAGCCCAACACACAAAACAATACTGGCAAAATTTCATTAAATTTATCAACATAAATTATAAATCTTTTGATTTTGGTTTAGAAAATAAAAAATTTAAATTTAAATTAATTATTTATATATTATAATTATCTCACAATGATTCCAAAGATTTTAGAATGGGCCATTACAAACAAACCAGTGGAAAATTGCTATTTACAAATCAATCAATCTCTTTCATTCATTTTTCAAATTGTCAATCAAATATTAAAATTTATCATAAAATCCCAAAATTTTTTTTTCGATTTTATCAAATTTTCATGAGTTTTGCAGTTGGAAAAAATATACAGTTGATTAATTTATAAATAACAAATATTTCGAAGCAACCTCATGTACTCATCCCTTATAAACTTCACCTGGCCCCCATGCTTTCTGTGAAAATAGCGCTCCTGTTGATCCTTATTTTTCTCCTCCAAGTCAGAATTATGTTATATTATTCCACCAAGGGAAGTAAAATCTTGCGATTCAACCAAAATGATGAAAAAAATTATAATCCGAATGAAGTAAAAATATTGCGATCCATCAATCAAAATGATGAACAAAATTATAGTTAAAATAACCGAAATCTTAACTGAGGCATATTACACAAACATATTTCTTCAAAAACCAACTTTTATTTAGGGCATCAATGAGCTAAGAAGAAGGAGACGAGGCAGATGCCCGCGAATCGACAGTCTTGAACGATTCATGCAGCCGCCTGAGCATAATCTCATCCCTGCTCCACTCCGCCTCCGGCGCGCTTACAAAATGCGCATAGAGCTTATTCCCCTTGCAAGTTACCGCAATCAAACTATGTTTTCCGGCCCCATCAATCTCATACGAATAATAAACCTGGCCGTTACCAGCCCGCCGCTCCTCCGACCGCACGCTGTCCGCCCCAGCGATCTGATCTTGAAGAGCGACGTCGGACAGAGCGAGGTTGCCAAGCACAGTATCGACGGGAGCTAACCCACGGATGTCTGATAAAAACGTGAGGTACTCGCGCTCGCTGCGTTTTTTCGGGTTGAAGAACTCGCTGTCGGTTCCATTAGTTCCTTTCTCGACTTTGGAGACAAGCCGTTCTTTCCATCCGTCGGGGACTTCGTAGGTGTACTCTGCAGTGTCCTGTTTGCTCGCGTTACCTCCGTAGCCTCCATAGTTGGCTGCGCTTGCTGCTGTGCCGTAGTAGAGGTGAAAGGGGTAGTCTGAGGCGAGGGAAAGGGGAAGTGGGGAGAGGGAGATGGATGCGGCGGCTGCGAGGGGGATTAGGGCAGTGGCGAAGTGGGGCAATTGGGGTTTGGCGATAAGGGGTTTTGGTTGAATGTTTGATTTTGGAGCGGATAGAGGAGATGATAAGGCGGCGGAAGAGAGCGCAGCGATGGAAGAGAAGGTGGCGGACATCGTCGCCGGCAAGCTGTTCAAGGGGCGGGAGAGGATGATGACTGCGTGGTGTGGAATACATCGGGTCGATATCCACTGAGCTTGGATCGTGTGACCGCAAGGTAAGCTTACTACACTTACCTCAACTTCTGATTAGAGAAGCACTTGTGTCAAACAACCTCTTTGCAAATATTATCAATTTTTAAAAGTTAAATTGATTTAAAATTTGAGATATGTAATTACATGAGAGTTGTGTGCTAGTTGTAAATTTCACTTTTTAAAAGAATGAATGGGATGCACAAATTTAATGCTTACTAAATTTTAATGTTATTTGATGCCTTATCCCCCGCTGGCCGGCCTAGGCGAAAGAATATTAGGTCAGGACTCCGGATGCATCCAGAGTCCAATAGGGGGGCGCCACATATAAAATGGGTCTTCCGCAATGCACTGTGATTAGTCAACTTTACACGTGACACCCCCTATTGGACTTCGGATGTCTGTGGAGTCCTGACCTAATATTTTTTCTGCCTAAGCTTTCCCATTACTTCTTTGCTATGGAATTTGGAATCGGTAGCTATGTTTGATCAATCCGATTTTTCTTTTTCAGTTATTCTTTTTTAGCTTGCGTGATATAATCTCACCTATTCTCTTGAATTAGTCATTCCCTGCAAACTTTTCCTTTTTTGTTGAAGTTTTCTTGCCAACTTTATTTTCTTCTCTTTTTCATTGAGCGGTTTGGTAGCAACTTGTAACATGCATTACCTTACCTTATTATTTTCACAGCAATGGACGAAGATATCCACCATTGGTAATTACGCATTAGAAATATCATATTACACTTACATGGGATTTAGGATTGGTAAAAAGTATTAAAAGCCGGTGACACAAAAGATTTAATCTTTTTCATCTGGAAGGTTTTAGGGGGGAAAGATGCCCTATTAAAATAATCTAACTAATACAATAGGTGTCCTTCCTTGTGACTGAATTAGATGTCGTTACAATGGATTGAACTTGAAATCATGGAAGATGTCTCCTACTAAGGTTATATGAGAGATTTAAAGGTGTTATTGTGGTAGATTGGCAAATGTTGAACATTAATAATAAACTCTAAGAAAAATTTACACCAATGGGTGTTGGAGTTGAAGTGGTGTGATCTTTTGTATGAGTGATTAATTATGATCAATCAATAGATAATGGGGCTCTTCCAAGATGTTAGAAGAGTATGGAAGGGTGCTTTAGGCCAATTAGATGGTGGAGCTATTTAGATAAGAGTCTTGATGGCCTTAAGAGTCAATTCAAATTTTATGTCAAAAACATGATATTTAACTTCAATCATCATGAACTTTCATCATAATAAACAAAACAAAATGAAATAAAAAAATGAATTGAAGTGAAGGATATCAAAATTGGATATGGAATGTTTTATAATTCTTGGTTTTTTTTTTGGTATTTTTCAATTAATTTCAAGATTGGTACAACAAAGTCAATCTTTGGATAAAATGTGATAATTTAATTACATGAATTAGAACTTTTTCCACAAAACTTCAAATGACTTGACCTGATATTAAAATGAAAGATAATGAAGCCTACATTTAATTTTGAAAGTTTCAAATATTTTAGATAAGTATTTTTAATCTTTTGATGGTGGGTGGGTAGGGGGTGCTGCTTTATCACACAAAGATAAGTAAACTAAAAGTGAAAGTTAAAATTGAAAAAAGGACTTTAAGGGCATATTGGGTGTATTTGGTATGAGAAAATTATAGAAAAATTATGGAGAGTAGAGAGAGATGTGCACAAAACTAAAATTATTTCTTTATGAATTTTCGTCGAGTAAATATGAACCTAAAGGAGTCTGAACAAAAATTAGGTCAGTGAAACCCTAATTCTTAGCTAACCCTTAGGATTGAATTTTGATTGAGAATTTTTTGAAATTTGTGCGTGAGATGTAGTAATAACATAAATTTAAGGTAATACAAAACTTCGAAAAACCAAATAAATATTCGAAGAGAGAATAAAATCACCAAAAATAAAGTTCACCAGCTTGCTTATGTGAATAGAGGATGAATGATCATCAAATCCTCCAAATTTTGCCAGACCATCATACAACCAAGGGTAATGGAGACCCACTCCAAAATTACTTCAAAAGCACACTAATTCATTATGTAGAAATAAGAGTCTTTGAAAAATAATACAACACGCCCTTTCATTTTGAAAATGAAGAGGGTAGGAGGGAACTGGTGTCCCCTCTCCATAACCACCTCATGACCACAACCCATTTTGATTACATTTCATATTTTCACATGGAACATGACTCCCAATCATAAATATTGACTTATGATCAACATTCTTATGGCGTAAGTTCACAAACTGTCAAAACAACTCATTAACTTACACTTTATACATCCACATCAAATATAACACCTAACTATTTAGAAAATATTTTTAAATATGAAAGTGTCTAATGAGTTAATAAGTATATTTCTTGTCTTGATTTCTTATACTTGGACCTCTTGGATGTGTGGTAGCTCTCTTAAATTAAGCTCTAGTAGTAGGTCCACCTTCTATGCATATGGGCCCCTTTTTGTGCCTTCATGATGAGTCACATCATTTCAATCATATGCTAACAAACTATTCTTTAAGGAGTTAGGGTCAAAGTTTAGATCCGGTGCTAACCAATGAAGTTCATCCTATGTCACTTGGTGGTTTGTTCTTCCACCTAATAAAAAAAAACTTTGAGCAGTATCCCCATCTGAAAGCGCCTCAATTGTAACAATGTTCTTCACTTCAAAGAATGTGGGCTAGAAAGGTACCTAAAAATGATTTCTATTTCCTCCTGTAATTAGGTGAACCCTTTAAAAGAAATGAGGTCTTCCACATTAAAAACATTACTAATATACATAAAAGGGTTATTCAGAGATAGTCTTAGCTGTAAAACTATAAAAAAAATACTTATTATCTATGAACTTATTCCAATACAAGCATAAAACTAATTCATAATGTAATTAAGTCGTACATTCCATGCTTACTTGTAGATTGATTATTATTATATTCTCATAAGAAGAACAAAAAGTTTCATAAGACTATGAAGGTGTGCAAAAGTAATTGTTATGTTTAAAACATTCATATGTTTTAGTCTGTTGATCGTTAGACCCTGATACCATTTTTTGTGCCTTTGATGTCTTAGCTTTTTATTAGATAATTTCATTTTTCCTATTTCATCCTCTAATAAAGGTTCTGATATTTTTTATGATTTGTTAATATCCCAGATTGTTTATGGTGATATTTTATTTTGTATTCTAGTTCTTCCATATCTCTGATATTATTTCTAACTGATTTCCTTAAATTTCTTATTTCCATTTCTAATTTATCTATATCATCTTCCATTATTAACAACTTCTTCCCAATATTTCTATCTTTAATATGTTATGAAATATTACTGTTCATCATGCTTCCTACTGAGGGTTTATCTTAATATTATATTACATTTTTCCTCCTATTCTGGGGTTTAACATTAACATCTCTGGTTCATTTTACACTTTTCTTTTTGGATTTCTAGAGAAAACTAAGGCTGAACAAGATCATTTAGATCTATAACAGACAGTAACCCTATATAATTACTTCAGAGATGCAAAGCACAGATTTAGTTTATTTTGTACATTAAACATAACCAGAAGAAGTAGAAACAAAATAACATAATTTTAATATAAATAGACGATAAGAACAACATAATAAACTTACATATTCCATAACATACTTATAGACATAGGTGTAGAGAAAACTTTACTTAGCCGCTATGGCTTGCACACATAATTAGATTGCAAAAGGAAAAGTGGAGAAAAGAAGAAAAAGAAGAAGACTCACTAATTTTGCTTCGTCTTCATCTTCGGTGACTTGAGCAATAGATAGGTCTGGAGAGCCTTAGTAGTCATCATGGATGACAATAATTTTCTTCTTATGTCATCATGGTTGATGATTACTTCCATAATTCAGTATGGCGAGACTAGTAATGCTAGTACGATAAGATTTTATTTCCAGTTGATGGGGTATAATGTGGTCATTAATTCCTTCTGTGGGACGTAATTGCTGGTAAGAAAGATTCCTTACAGTCGTATCCCACTATTTCTCTCTGCAGACTATCTCGCTTCTTGCAATACATGCATTTAAGTATTTTTTTTTTCCTTTTTTAAATTTCTGATAAAATAATTCTTTTACTTCTTTTCTAGCAGCTATGGAATTCTCGTTGAGAATAGAGAACTATATTTTGTACATTACTTCATGAATCTTGCATGTAGGTTGCTTACAATGGCTATAAATAAATAAGTGTTTGGCACAAAGATATGGGTCTATTTTATTCATCTCATTCCATATTTGATATAGATTTTTGGGTTTAGATCCTATAAAAAATGATTTTGTTGGCTTATATTTTGGAATATATGGCTTGCTGCTGATTCCGAGATGTATAAATGAAATAACTTCTTCTCGTATTTTTGGATAAGTATGATATATATATATATATATATTTCAGTGTTTGACGACTAAGTGGAAAGTTTCCATGGCATCAATATATGTTTTTGGTAATTCTCCTACTAAATAAATTATTCTTACTAAGCCACATTTATATAATTCAAAGATAGTTTTGGAATCTATATTTCCATATATATAAACAACATGAATTTTTTCAACTGTGTGAAAGCAAAATTGAGAATTAATTCGTTCCTCGTAGATGGACAATTGTCGTCATTCATCGGTTATATCTATGATAATCTTCGTAGAGTTGATTATTGTTTTTTACCATACCTTAGTATATGATACACCAAAATAATGTACTATTATATATATATATATATATATATATATATTATGCTTATTTTAGTGATATTGCACTTTAAAGAAGAGTATTTTTCATATTTTGTTGCAGGTATAAAGGGTATTCTCAAGTTTTTTTTGCAAGTATATCAATGTTAGACATTTGGAGCAAAAAGTAGCAAAAATGAGGAAATTTGGAGCCAAAATGGAGATTTTCATGATCCTGGCTTCGAAGGTGTCTTTTTCCAGAGAGCTGGCGCCACGAGCGCTAGAAACAAGAGCTAAATGCGCCATTTTA